AATTCCTGAAAATTTTTTCACTTGATGCATTTCAGAACGCAGAGTGTGAATGTTGGTGTAAACCAGAGATGGACGAGCCGCGGTGTAACACCGCCCCGCCCCGTCCCGTCCCGCCGCCGGGCCGGTGTGAAAACTTGACGGGGCGGTAACGATGCACAACGAAATTTCGCGATTTTCCCGCCTTTGTATAACCTTGATTTTTTAAATATACTCAGATCTTTAGAGACGTCTTTTAAAAATTTTAAAAATTTTTTCACACAAAGCTAATCAGTAAAAAGAAGCTTGTTAGCGCAGCTCCAAAGGAGCTAAAACGTGGAACCCACGTACATTTTCAAAGTTTTTTTATCCTGATGCCTAATTTTTAAATTGTAAAATACCTTTTTTTCGAATACGCATGAAATAATTGATATATTATATAAAAACCAGAGCGGAGGGGGAGCCGCCAAACCTCAAACTTAAAACATACACTTACTATTTTCTTCGAAAATATATGTGAGTTTCACAAATGAGTGATTTTATTATAATTGTTTTTCATTTTCATGTTTATTTTTTTTTCTATTTTGAAATGATGTTTATGCGTTTAAAATATGCCTTTTCATCTCATGAAATAAAATAGTCATTATGAAAGTTTAAGGAAAAATTTGTCGAGAAATAGTTTTTGAAAACATATTGGATGGGGCGCGGCGGTGCGGAACTTTATCAACGGGGCGGTGACGGTGCGACTTTTTTGCTGACTCGTCCATCTTTGGTGTAAACAATAGCAACAGTCACACTATTATCAAAGCAGAGAGTTCTCACAAATACTTTTTCTTTAAAGTATCGATTTCTAAATTTCCTATTGGAATTCGAACTTGTTGAGAATCTTACATGAAGTTTTAGTACTTGATTATCAGAAGATACCTGTAAACATATATAAATTCGTACGAAAATGAACAGTTCATGCGTATGAGTTCTTTTTCTTAATAAGAGATTCAACATTTTATTTCTTTGAGATTCTACATTGTCGAGATTTTGATTTTCGATACTAGAACCTACTGATTGTGGGTATCGACAAATATTCCAAAGAATCACAATCACATTCTAGATATGAAGTATCTGCTCGTTAGGATTCTATACTGCAATGCAAGCAATAATGAAGAAATATACATAAAAAAAACACGACCAACTTTCTGTAGATTAGAAAGAATATCTAGATCGTATTTTACAATTTGATCTCACAGGAATTGAGTGAACATCTCAGTAAATTTCACCATATCACCTTGTTCAGAAAGTTTGTGCAACTACCCTTCTACTACAAGCGTGAAACCTATGGTTTCCACCATTGTGTAGAGTATCCATATTTAAGATGGTACACCAATTGTCTGCCTTCTTAGGAAAAGAAAGGAGTTTTCATGACCAGGGTCGCCCTTTTTTCACATATGATGGTGGTGATGGTGGTTGGATACCTTTGTAACTCATTCACCAGAAGACTCTGAAAGATGAGAATTTTAGGATGGATAAAATTTTATATGGGCTACAATGTGTGATAGTCAGAATTAAAAAATGTTCGTTCAGAATTCTTGAGTTTTTCAGAGAATCTCTAAAAAACTTTCCATGTATGATCAAAGAACTTTGAAATTCAGAGGCAATCAAAGACTGTCAGTAGAAAGAGTGGCCAAAACTCTCTTTGTGGTTGAATTTTTGGAGCGATCGAGGAAGACTTCTTAGAAATATGCAAAAATTTCGAAGAAAAATGCATATTTTACTAGTGAATTTTTCATGACTTCAAGATGTTTCTTTGTCAAACAGATATCTTTGACACCTTAACTCACTCCAAATTCAAACCCAAATAGTACATCTTGTAGCCCTTAATGAACTCTATAAAATAGCATATCCCGACTATGTAAAACAGTTATGTCATTGGCGGATGGATTCGAAGTATAAAAGATTGTATGCCTCATCGCCGAAAAATAACATCGCCGCAACTCGCGCCGAAGCAAACATTATCGAACAGAAAGATCGTCGAAATCAACATCACCGAAATACAGATTGTCGATACAAAGTTCATCGAAATGCAGATCGCCGAATTCTTTTCGATCACCTCTACTAGCTTAGAGTTAGCACATAATTAAGTTAGTGACTAATTTGACGTGGTTCCTAAGTAATGCTAGTAACCTACATGGTTAACTTGGTTCCTAACTTGATCCCTAACTTGATCAAGTTAGTAACTGACTTGATCAAGTTAGTAACTGACTTGGTCAAGTTAGTAACTAACTTGGTTCCGAACTTCTTGTAACACTCACGTAAGTCAGTTGTTAACTGATAAATTCGATCATTGGCATAAAAATTGCCGATAGCCACATAGCCGACAGTGGCATCGCCGAAAGACACATCGCCGAAGCCATAGTTCGCCGAAATAGAAGTCGCCGAATTTCTGCGATCTGCATTTCGGCGATATGACTTTCGGCGAAGAGGATATGGACCGTATAAAATACGAAGTGTGGGCGCATACAGCTGTGAAAACTCCTTTCTTTTTCTAAGAAGGTAATAAAGTAATTATGTGAAAAGCGATGTATTATCCTAAATATGGACACTCTACACAATGGTGGAAACCATATGTTTCATTCTTGTAGCAGAAGGGTAGTTGCACGAACTTTCCGAACAAGGTGATATTTTATCGTTCGCGTGTTTAGTTTAAATTTGGTGAGATTAGAACTTTATTGAAAAGAGTGAACGTTCAACTTCTAAGATATATGTATTAGAATATTGGATTTTATTTTTTGCCAAATTAAAGTTGAATGAATAATATTTTGAAGCTCTGACATGCTTAATTGCTTGAGGGCGAAGTTCCATATATTCATTTATTTGATCACACAATAGCAATTAAATTTTGAATCATTTCAAAAAGAAAACAGTAGGCACGAACGAAGGAAAAAGGAATCCTTTCGAAAAAAAATTTAGACGAAAGCATAAAATACCGAGACCACTATATTTTTTAGTAGAACTATTTTATCTCATTTAAATTCTTGAATTTTTATATGCGTGCTTGCTTATATTTTGGATAGGATCTTGATGTACGAAAGAATTCAGTTTGCAATGACCGTACCAGTTCTAATTTCAATAATGACAGCATTAACACTAGTCAACGTAAGTTATCTTTGTTTACATAAAAAAATGATTGAAATGTTGTTATTTTAACTTTCAGTCGAGTCGAACAAAGAAGTTCATGACTGTGTAATTCAATCTTTTGATGACTTTTTTGCACAAAAATGCAAATCTTCAGCCGCTTTTTTCATGGGCTCTCTAGAAGATGTTTGTAAATATGCTTTCGTCGGTGAATCAAGCAAAGTAATTTAATCATATCATTCTCAGCAATACATATTGATATACACATTCATTTTATTTCAGCATCGTCCAATACTCATCTGCATACATAATGACAAAAGCTCACATAGTCCTTCGGTCTTATCAAATATATTTTGTTCTGATCTTATCAAATATCTAAGTGAAAATTACGTGGTCTGTCCATTCAATATTACAGAAGAATCGAAACTAAACATGTAGAGCAACGTAAAATGAATTGATTCTTATAATCTTGTTATTCATAGTTTAACAGTATTCATAAATCCGTTCGATAAAGAGGAGTACATTATTGCTATATATAATTAGCTTTAAGAATAATATGATAATTCTCTTCTGAACAGTAGCATGACATAAAAATGAAGAAATTCCATGATGAATCTTTGTACATTACGAATCAGAGCATAAAACAGACTGTAAAGCCTGCCTCTCTCAGACAGACCACTTGAGATAGATAGGCGGTCTATCTACCATAGTTTTTTAATTTTCAATAAAAATTAGATCGTTGATCTTAAAATGCTGCAATCGGTAATGTCATATCAAGACAGTTTTCCGTTACATCTGCGAAAGTGGAGCGGAATTTTTCTTCTGCAAACTTCACTATCACACAATGTCGTTCTTCGTTCCGATTCGGACACTTTTGAATGACATTCTTTTCGTGAGATTCATCCAAAAAAGTTTTAGATTCAAATCCTGATTTTTTTTTCTCTAAAATTTAGTACTTTGGTAGATCAGTTCTATCTGAAAACGTAATGTATTGAATTAATGAATACTTGCAATAGTCATCGTATTCTTATTCAAATAATTTCTTGTACTATTCTGAAAATTGTTTTCACATTCCTCATACTTATCAACTTTATTACCGTATAGAAGATGAAAATAGGCCTCAACAAGCAGACCAGGTCGAACAAAATGAACGGCAGACCTAGGTAAGGCTGCAAAATGTTCCGGCCTGCCATGGGCAGACTAATCCTTAGAAATGAGCCCTGTTCTATGTTCTGTTAAGAACATGGATTGTTTTAATAATTATAGGCAGTCATGAGCAATGAAAGAATACCTCTGTGCTAGATGATGCAAATTAAGATTATTATCAGATAAGATTAGAATTCCTTATCATAGTGAAGAAGTTGAAAGCAATCAGTAGCAATAATTAACAATTAGAAAATCAGTTCTTTTCCATTTGATTAAATAATATATTGATCTTTCATTCGTTCACCAATGTAGGAGTATTCAATCAATAGATGCTCTAACTCTATGTGAGATAATTGGTGAATTCTCATAATGTTTTCTCGTATAGAAAGCTTTGTTTTAGATGAAACAATAATAAATCGAGTGATGAAATTGTCAAATGAACATCTATGTCGAGAATAACGATACTATCTATCTCTCTCTCTCGTTCTTATCTTCACCTTCTATTACAATGTTCAGTTTGCAATTCGCATATTTTGAGATTTATGTTATTTTGGATTTTGATTAATTGTGTAATATTTTCAGAAGCATCTTATAGTTTTTCTAAATGTGTACATGTTTTGTGTCATCAAAAAAACTTTCTATACTTTCATACATATGGAGATAGTACGAGTACACAATCATTCACTTTTCGGGACTATAGATCAGAAATTGATTATTTTTATTTCAGGTTTACACAAGACTGGAAACAAATGTTTCCTGACCATGCTGACTATGATTTCTCTATAGAAAAATGTCCAAAACTTATTGGACTCAATCGACGATTGGTTTTAAAAGATGGTCTTTCATTTGAGATTAAATTAGAATGTACATTATTGCTTGAATGTCTCGAGTTGTATCGTATTAAAAAGACTTTAAGTCTTGAGACACTACTTGATGAATTAAAAATCTTTGAAAAACAGTTTCATCAGAACGAAAATGAATTAGTAAGTTCTATTCAATTACGGGCACACTTTATTTTTTTTATTAATTAACGAATAAACTGTATGTTTTATTTTAGTTACTTGATTTCTGGGCACAAACTAGTCTTTGTTCAGATGTTATCTTCGAAATTACAAAGTATCTCACATTAAATGAAGCGATCAATGCATTTACTATCAAAATATTGCCTTTACTACGAAATTGTTATACACGATTACATCTGTCTGAACTAGATTATGGGTTCATCAATACAATACTTCGAGAATTCGATCGTACGGCAATAGACTCTTTGAGTCTGAATGGAGACCAGCTGATGTCGACTATTAACTCAATCACTAAGCCTTTTCCCAAAATCATTTCACTTCAGCTTTGCTTCAGCAAACATGTTGAATGGTATATATTGAGTAGAACTCTTCATCAGTTGGCTGATAATATCAAACGATTGAAAATCAGTTGTAGTGATTTATGGTATGATTCCTATAATCCGAACTTTATTTCTGAAAGAGAAAACGAAAAAAACCAAACAATCGAATATTTTATTTTCGATTCGCGTCAAGTTTTATTGACTTCTAACGATCGCCGTTTTCATCATTGGACACCATCTTGGTTCAAAACAATGAGTGATTTAATTAGAAGGATGGAAAACATTCGAACTGTTCATCTCGTTTACGACAGTTACGATTATATGGAAATGCTAGATAAAAATGTGTGGAAAAGTCTAGCAAAAGATTGTGTTCAATTAACGAATATTACATTACAAATCATTCGACCGGAGGGTGAAGTCGAACAACTACAACAGATAGTACTTCAAATTCAGAATGAATTACGTAATTTGCGACAGACAATTAACTTTCGTATTATTTTTAGTCAAGAAAAACGTTTTTAAAAATTTCTTATAGTTTTTTAGTCGATTGTCTATTATCAGATGTTTTATTTGAAGATTGTATTTGATTAAGGGGGAAAATCTCGATGTTTCTCATTCAGAGACAAACATTTCAAATGAATAAAATTATTTTCATTCTGTTTCGTTTAAATAATTCAACTGGTTTCGACACAAGGGGGAAAAAGCGAGACTTCATCTACTTCAAAAAAAATTTGAAGTACGATTGAAGTACAGTGAAGTACGAGTGAAGTACGGTGAAGTACGGTGAAGTACGTGAAGTATGAAGTCTCGCTTTTTCCCCCTTGAGGGGTACCCTTAGGTCCTCAAGTCCTACTTTTGAAAAAAATTTTTTTTCGAAAAATTTTTTTTTATACAGAAATAGAGTTTTTGAGAAAAAAAAAATTTTTTTGGGAACACCCAAAATTTTGTTCAAAAAAAATTTTTTTTCGAAAAAAGTCTATTTTTGTATAAAAAAAAATTTTTTTTGAACAAGATTTTGGGTGTTCCCAAAAAAATTTCTTTTTTCTCAAAAAGTCTATTTCTGTATAAAAAAAAAATTTTCGAAAAAAAAATTTTTTTCAAAAGTAGGACTTGAGGACCTAGGGTACCCCTACGAGTGAAGTATGCGTGAAGTATAGTGAAGTACAGCTGAAGTACAAGTGAAGTACAAGTGAAGTACGGTGAAGTACGTGAAGTATGAAGTCTCGCTTTTTCCCCCTTGTTTCGACATCGGATTTCTCTGGTGGCACCATAAACTTCAAAATAACTCAATGTAACTTTAGATCGTCTATTCTCTATTGCGTACATAAAACTAAATATTAAAACTTCTAGAATTCAATTTCAATTTGCTTCAGTTTCACTTTTTCAAATCGAAAGCAATCTTAAATATCAAATTTTCAACAAAACTAATTTTATTAATTTTCATCGACGTCATAAGATGACAGTGTATATATGACAAAATTACACGCCCATACTCTTCTATTTTGTTTTGAAAATTGTGTGTATAGAGATGAGCTTCTATTGCTGCTCAATTTTTTGTTTCACCTATAAATTTGTTTTGATGAAAAAGTGTTCAAACATTGTGGAAAATATATAAAAATGCAAATTTGAATTCATACATCAATGAATGGCTTGAAATGGGCAATCTAGAGAGAGAGAGAGAGAGAGAGGAATGGATACTCGTTATTTAAGTTTTTCAAAAGATCATTTATAAAGTTTGGCATCAGTTTTAAAACGTGTTTTTGCAACTGATAAAAGATTTATACGATATTGTACTACTTTGAATGCAGTTGCACGATCTTCGAGTGCATATTATCGAAAAATGTTTCCTCTTTAAGATTATATCTTCAAAAACCTACAAAAGTTCTCGTTATCGATCTTCTTTTATTAAAATACAGCGGTTCAAAAATTAGAGCCATTCGAAACTGAAAAATATAGAATTAAAGCTTTTCAAAAACAAATCTTTCAGAATGATGAATTATCATGTGTTTATAAATAAACGATCCTTAATGAGAAAATATTTTGTCTACAATAAACATCTTCAAATAATATATGCGTACTCAAAACGATGAAATAGCGAATACTTCTTTGAGTAGTTTCAGTAATCTATTTTGAAAACGCTACTATCCTGTAGTTATTGGAAAATATTCTTGAAAACCTTTTGTAAACAGCTAAGTAAACATATGAAATTTTCAAAGATCGATCATAAGACATATCTCCCAACCGTTGAACATTAAAAGCGACTAGCTCTGATAGCAAAAGTATTATCGAGCAAAAGAATTACACTGAGCAACCCACAATCATTGCCTTTAAAGTAATAAAGATTTTTCAGTCAAATTGTTCTAATTTTTTATTTTTTCATACTTACATATTTTATAATCAGTGAATTTTTATTGTAACAAGGAAATGAAAGAATATTTGAATAAAAAAGAAACAATCATATTGTTTGAATGAGTGAATAATACGTACTACTTCATGCTGTCTTTTTTCTCGCACAGAAAACAATATATGTGATTTATTTCGAGGCAGTCGATGCATGTAGACAAGAAAAAAAACCAGATTGATTTTCTAGTCAAAAATAATTTCATTTTGTAGTTTCGACAAGTTTCATTAGTTAGTGACAGACTTACTTTGATTGCTTCGAACAACTACACCTACACTTGACATACTGATTTTATAAATTGATAAAAACGTATGGCTTTTTTTTTGTTTTATAATTACTAGAAAAAATAAAAATTTTTTCAGTAATGAATAAATCATTGATAAACCATCTTAAATAATATGAAAATAAATGAATCTTATTCTTAAACCAAATAACTGTCTTCTTCTTTTGTAAGGAATGTGTAGTGTTCGATTTACAAGAGTGTCTTTTCAATAGGAGAGTAAAACCGATAGATATTTAGGTTTATTTTTAATTTGATTGCAATTCAACAGACTGTCGAATAGAATTCTATCAAACGAAATATTTTAGAGATAGATAAGAATTACAATCAGAATTTATCACTCACTTTTCTTAATGTAAGAAAATTATCATCTATTTTCATTTTTATATTTTGTTTGATAGAATTGGTAATTGCAAATCTTTTTCAGAAGGGTGTGGGTGTGTATATAGGTCGAGGTGTGGCGTCAATAAAAGACTAACATTGACATCCACACTCACACGCGCACCCTGATCCATTGGAAAACCGTATATACGATTGATATTGATAAAGAGAAAAATCAATAGTAATTTTCTTCAATTTCTAAGCTTAATCTAACGTTCTTCTTCGAACGAATGCAAAAAATAATGAGTACCTGAGAAGTCTAAACAATTGTGGATCTGTTAGGGAAAAATTTCAGCAAATGTAGAAGTAAGAAAGAACTTTTCTATGATAAACAGTTTTGTTTGAAAAGTTCATTCCATTATTCAACTTTATGCACTATAATTCTATCAGATTTGTATTTGATCTATCGGAAAAAGTTAGAATATATACTTTCAAGAAGATTACTTTTTTTTCAAATATTCGAACTTCTTATTGAATGAAAGATCTGCTACACTGAATTTACTCAATAATTATGATTTAAATGCATATTACATATTTTTCTAAATTTTTTTTCTTTAGTACAAACAACTTCATGCGTTTTAACTGTTGCAGAATCGCGAGACATTTTTTTTCGAGTTAATTTTTTTCATGAATCTATTCGCTTATGAATAATGTTCTTGAGACCTATCTGTAGAGCGCAGGTAACAAAAAAAAAGAATATTAACAAGACTGCTTCTATTTTCATCTCTAGAGAATAATTGACATACAAGGTTATATAATGGAAGAAGCAAAATATAAAATAGATTATTTTCCCACATCCACCATGTTTTACTCATTTGTCATGATTATACCTTTATGCAGATCGTTAATCATTACTCAAGTTTTACACAAGTAAATCTATTACTAGGTTCGCTAATTAGGAATATTCTCCTACGAGTGAACTTCATTAAATGATATCGTTTGTTTGAGTTCATATTTTGCTCATTGCTAGAGTTCATAGTGCGGAAAAAATCCTAAAAGAATTCGTGTCATTAGTTCTCTATTCCCGAGTTATAGTTATTTTTACTGATTTATAGCTGATCACAGATTGAGATAGCAAAGATTACAAGAAAGAATTTCTACCTGAGGATTTCACTTAAGAACGAGCATTATATTTCTCACTCTTTGCTGAAAGTTTTAGCTCAAATCAATGCTTTTCTCTTCCGAGATAATAAATTTTCAAAAACTACTACATACTCACAAAAGCTCTGAAAAGAGCCCATTTTGGAAGCGTTCCATAACTTCAAAAAATCTCATTCGTTTGAGCTGAAACTTCCAACGTACGATGAGAAACATGATTTTTGTTATAGGAGAAATTTTCAGATAGAAACTCTTTGTGGCAATCTTTATCATATTACTCTGTGATTGACTCGAAACTCATTAACATGACTCGAGCTTAGACAGAAAAGTTTAATAATGAATCCTTGTAGAGTTTTTATCTGGACTATGAATATCATTAATAAGCAAAATATGAGCTCAAACAGAGGATATCATCTGGTGAGGTTCGCTCGTTTATTTGAACATTAAAATACTCTGGTAAAGACATCTAATAAATCTTTTCTACTATTTCTTTACCAGTAAGCTACATAAACGATGATGAACACATGTAACAAATTGGTTCACTATAGCGATATTACTTCTATAAAAGATTTTCATTTTTTTCTCAGAAAAAAAAACTTGTTTTGTTGAGGATAGAAACAAAAAGTCTGTACATTCGTTTATACTGTTTTATTTATTGAAATCATAGATATTTCCAAGTTTATTTCGATAACAAAAACACTTTGAAATTTTCTTAATTTATTTTTTGCTCATAGACGAGCGAGTTTTTCTGGACCAGAAACAGAAATTAAATAGCTTCCTGTAGTATACGAAGCAGCTGTAGTTGCCACTAAAACATAGTCGCCCGATTGAAGAGAAATGTTGAATCGAAAGAGTCGATTGACATAAGTATTATCATTCTCAATAAGTAGATTGTTAGATAAATTTGTCGGATGGAAATTGTTGGCATATAAATAAGCGTAAGTTTTAATTAGACCTACGCTCCTAAAAGAGTAAGAACCACCAGTTGATACACGTAGCCGTATTGCTTCATAGTAACAAGTTATATTTCCTGATCGGATAAACATCGAACTATTCGTTGTCAATCGAACAATGAAGATCGAAGGTAGATGGAACTTGAATGGTCGATGTTCTAAATAGATGAATAATACAGATAGATGAGTTGTCAATAAGTTTTCTTAGCTCTAGAATTCGTCATCTAATTATTTATGAAATACGAACTATCGCTACTTGCTATCGAAAAATGTCATCTTGTTATCCTTCAACAAGATGAAAATGACTAGATTGCTTATATATGATCGTTCGATTTATTTAAGAAATGCCCGGACAGATAGTTCTCGCTAAAAAAATGAAACTCATCATTTTGAAAATCTGAATAGGCTATCTGAGAGAAAAAAAGCAATTATATATAGAGCATATCTTTTACATATACTTCTTGAAGAACGAGAGGAGAATATCAACTTTTTTTTCAAAAGTTTCACTGATCCTCACAATATTTTTTAAAAATAATACAGCTATATTTTAACAAAAAAATTCAGAGTTCTTCGTTCAATATTGAATAAATTTGGCACTTATCAATGCTTCATTCAATCGAGCGTGTGATACTATCGATTCATTTATTCGAGAAGAAACGAATTGAATTTCGAAGCAAAAACAATTCGTGTTTTCTTGGCATTATCCTAGCTTTTTCAATAACAAGATTTTGTAAAACTCTTGTCAATTTTTATGAAAAATCATTCACATCATTTGATAGAATACTCTCTAAAGACTTAACTAGTGTATTGAAAACTAATATTCGGTTTAAATTTGACTGAAATATTCCAAAAACAATGTAACTAGACTAATTCTTCAAAGAAAAAATGTCATATGGACATTTCCTCGTATTTCCGAAATTTTCCTTGCTATACTTCATCTGGAAGGAGCTGAAATTTTATCAGAAATAGGTAACAAATAATAGAAGAAAAAAGTGATAAAAATCTCATCTCTCAAATGATTCATTATTTCTTGAGATATAGGCGTGCCGAAATTAACAATGTCACTAAAGAAAGTGTGTGATAAAGCAACTTTTCGCAATTTCGATCATTCTCCTTTTTAACAGATAGACAGATTGAATGATCTATACTTTTATATCAAAAAACGTCGTATTCAGCTCTGTATTCACCGAGTGAATAGAAGTGAGAAAAATTAAAAGTACAGACCACTATGAGAAAATCGAATTCTTATGTTACTGAACAGAAAAATTAAGTGTCTGTAAATATAAAGGGATATGTAAGAGTTACAAATGGAGAAGTCATAGACTAAAAGTTGACTCAGAGAAGAGAAAGCTACTTTTGATTGCGATCAAATAATATCTGACCAAGCATGAAACAATTATAGAAATTAATAGAATAACAACCTTTCTTTTGCTCACAATGCGCTAGATTATTGATTTAGTGACTTTGTAAGCTTCATATCTCCAAATAAAATTGAATTAGAAAACTGATAGTTTGAAGAACTAGACACAGTATATGCAAACAAATTTTAATTAGAATCGGTTAAGAATATCTTGTTTTAGTCTAAATGTACGCTTCTCAGACCAATGGTACTATGGGCGAGCATGCAACTAATCCGAGAAATGTATTTTAGATTTGAAATGATTCACTAGAAACAACTTATGCAAAATTGAATTTGATCAAGTTAGATTACATGCTCAAACAGGTCGAGTTTTCTAATGGAG